TCACTCAATCTGTCTCTCTGCAGGTTTGTCTGCCAGCAGGATCTTGGCCTATCCTTGATCCAGCCGAGAGTCAGCAGGAGCACGGCAGAGTGCAGGTTCACCGCTGATTAATGGGATGACACTTAATAGAGCCTCACAGAGGTCAGGGAGAGAGTGAGTCAGAACAAACACACTGACTGACTGTGAGGTCCGCAGAGCTTTCAGACCGAATTGCAGATGTGCTTTTTTTTTTTTAGGTCACTCAACTGAAAACAAGCCATCCATCGTGCTTAGTTGTGCAGTTTAGCGCTTCAACACAAATGTAGAAGAAAGGGTGAGTGACTGGTGAGAAATATTGTGTTCAATGTAGGGATCGACTGATACGGGTTTTATTTAGGACTGATGCTGGTAATCAAGAAAGGCCAGTAACCGATAAACACTAAATATAATGTTTTAACAGCGTCTGACAGCAGACAACCTGTTGTTCATAACAAGCCTTCCTCATTAGTAAGAGTGACGACACCTTCATATGTAAAGTAGATTAAATATAGACGCTCTCCTGCAGTCACATCTGCTGTTCGTCTCTATTTTAATCCTTCACTTTTATTGCCCACGAAGCTCCATAACTTAAATCATTATTAATTGTTGTTTTCCAGACTTTGTTTCAGGTTAGTTTGTGGCTGCAGACTGACTTAGCTGCTAGCTGTTAGCCTGGTTTGTGGCAGCAGCTTGTGTTTCTTGTTCAGTCTGTTGCAGTCTCTGCTGGAGAGACATTTGTGAGACCACAGAGTGACGACAGACAGAGAGAGGAGGCTGATCAGACCTGAAATAGCACGTTAAGTTTATCAATAATCAGTCAATAAAAATATCGATCATCAGAAAAAAGCCAAATATCAGCCGTGATAATCAGCCGGTCTATCCCTAGTAAATGAGGTTATGGAGTGTCTTCAGCTAAGCTGTTTTAGTGAAGTTTTCAGTTTTACCGTCTTCTTTTTGCTGCTGCGTCTGTGATTATTGTTCGATCATCCCGTCCAGCCTCCACCTTCTTCTCATATTCACAGAAAATCCTCAAACGGTTCTTCACCAGTCACCTGAGATCCACATGTGAGCAAACTAGAGTAGAAATGAAAAGTGCTGCAGATGAATCTGCTTTTATGTGCAAAAGTTTAGTTTACTCTCGACCTTCTCGTTTAGGAAAGCTAATTTGTTGAAGAGCTCTCTGGTGTTTTTAGCTGGTTGGTGTGGAGGTGGTGAATAGGGAAAACATCCTTCAGCTCAAGTACCTGCATTCAAGGATGCCGCCTCTCCTCTGTCGGCTTCCAGTACATATGTAGGTGTTTAACCGTTGACAAATATATTATTGAGTTGTCATAGTTGCACGTGTTTTCAGTAAAGTTGAATACAAAGAAAGGAAAAAGATGAAACACTGAATGTCACTGAAGGTCCCACATCGTGATGCTGTGGTTATAAACTTTAAGGTGTATGAAGACGTTTACTTCTGCCACCCTCACGCTCCCTCACCACTCGGTATGGCCCCCGCTGTCGGGTGTAGGTGCAGAGAGAGATTTCTTCCTGTAGGGGGCAGGAACAGGAGCAGCCCATCTGTAACAGCCCTAACAGCAGGCTTCATACAGTCACGGTGCAGCGAACCTTCTCTGCAATATTTTGAGCTGTAAAACTGCCTTTGAATAATTTGCTAAAAGGAGGCACAATATGGGACCTTTAATCGTAAAAGCATGTAGTGTGAGTTCAGTGTCTGGAGATGCTTGGATTGAAGATGACTTCTGCATCTCTGGATTGGTTGAAGGTGGGCAGTTCTAGGGTTCCACATGCTGCTGGTTCAGTAGGTGATGCATGAGTGAGATGTCAGAAAAAGCAGCATTTCAGGCCGCTGGATTCTCCCTTGATGGTTTTGCTCCACATTTAGCTCTTCTTCTTTAACTCTGTATTCAGTATAGTGTTGAGTTATGAAAGGCTGAAACAAACGAGACAGAAAAAGAGGATTTCTTATTTTGGCTGGTGAAGTAATGAGCTTGATGGGATTCTTTCACCGACCAGCGCTCTTGGCCGGTGGGTTAGATGTTAGCTTAGAACTCAGATTCCATGTGTACGACCAGGAAAACAACATGAGCCTTTTGTTTGTTGTGTGTGAAGCCGAGCAGCAAAGTGCAGCTGAAGCCATTCTAACCGTAAGATGTCATGATCTGGGCGTTGTGGTGACAAGGCGACCTTGGATGTCTGTCTGCTTCCTTTGTTCATCCCTAATGCTCTGTGACATCTCTGGGTTCTGGCTGTCTGACTTGTCCCTGATCATGCTGAGCAAACACAGTCCGTACACAACAACACAGCCAACTTGTTGCTGCAGTTGCACTTGAAGCTGGCATCCACATGTGTGTCCTGGCCAGCTTCTGCAGTATCTGTGGTACCGGCTATATGTTCAGAACCATAGCAGAACAAGTCCTGTCATGTTTTGTGAGTTTTGGCATCGATCTGGGGTCTTGTTACATTTCTACTGTAATGTGCAGGATATTAAAGGATTGGTTCTGTTGGAGCGGAATCTCAATCTACCAGAAATCAGACTATGTGTGAGATCGCTCCTGTGCATTCGTTTAATGAAGCAATAGGAGAAGATATTTAGATCTCACTCAGTGTCTTTATCTATCAGATAGTTGAATCAGCACACAGAGCTCTGGATCAAACTTCTCACAAAGTTAATGTCAGGGCACGAGGTCTGACCGACTGCCTCGCCCTGATCCAGTCTACTTATACTATCACATGAGGATGAGCACAGAATGTGTTGCAGATAGCTGATTGGCTCCTCCGTGTCCTGGAGCCTTCTTCCACCATCTCGTAGGTGCAGAGACTTACCACTCTGCACCCTCAGTTCCTCCCTCCTGCACATACCTGCTTGTGGCAGAGAAATACACAAACCACCAAATCCTGTCTCCACTTAGGCTTTCTCATGCTGCAATTGTTTATAAGTTATGTTGATTATGCCTTAAGATGATAATGTGAGATTAAGATAATAACAAAAGGTGAGGAGAGTAGCACCAAATTATCAAAATATGAAATAATGTGAGATTAATATAAGAGGTGCAGAGAAGAATACTCAATTATCTAAATATGAATTAAAGATATATGTAAAAAAAAAAAATACATGATCCTGACAGTTCACATAAGTGAGAAGAGAAAACTCACTTTATTCCTCTCTGCCTGTCAGTCTCCCAAAGCAGTGGAGACGGAGGCTTGTAACGCCTGCCTGGAGTTTCCACATGTAGGAGTACGTATTTACTAGGCTTCAGATGACAGCTGAGTTACACCCGCCGTTAATATTGATCAGATGTGGCCACACATGTGCCTAGTTTTCCGGTTGTTGATAGTGATGGTGTTGGATTGTGTCCACGGTGTTATAATGTAAAATGACAAAGCACAAGAGAGGAATACCTGGAGCCAACTTAGCTGCAGCACTTTGTCAGTCCAAACACTCGTTTAGTGCTAATGGAGAATAACTGAACCAGTCCTGTGGCCTTAAACGTTGTACGAGCTCCAGAACAGTGCTGCTGCTGCTGCTCTTTACTGCATGCTCCTTATTGCACTTAAACAGGCAGGTTTGTCTGCGTCCTCTCACAAGCCAGTGTGGTAGATATGCAGGCAAATGCACACAAAGTGACACACGAGGCTGTAAACACTTCCTTTAGGCACATGCATATTCATGCTCTCCCTCAAAAACACAATATTTAATATACAAGCCGGGTGCGTCTCCAGACACACACCAGAGAGCCTATTGGTTTTGAGCATTAAACATGAATGCAGCAGGGAGTGAGGGACACTTTAAGTCCAATGGGTCTTAATGAAAAGACTCTGCATGGTGGCACTTTTAAACAAATCCCATCAGGAGCCTGAACTATATCAAAATTTAATGCGTCCTTTTAAAGTGACATGAAACATTGAAACATGTCATTGCTTCCGTCTCTGATGAGATAACTGGATATCTTTCCAGTTCTATCATCATACAGTTGTACAGCGGATATATGTTTGTGTTGACAGTGTTGGTGCTGTACAAAGAGCACCATGCAGACGTAAACAGCATGAGTCAGGCATCCACCACACACAGGACGGTCCAGACCCTGTTTACTAGAAACACAAAGCAGTTTGTTAAAGAAACTAATGAAAGTAGTAGTTCAGACTTTTGGGGGATGACTTTCCTGCCATTTGTTAAAGATCAGTGCTGCTGTCATGTCTGCCAGTTAGCTTAGCGTAGCTTCAAGACGGGGAACCAGAGCGACTGCAAAGCTCACTCATTAACACATCGTCTCTTTAGTTCATACATTAGGACGGGTTCCTGATTTCTGGGAGCTTGTGATCATGTAGGACTATTTAGCATTTACTTCTGCTTCACTGGTTGGCATGGCAACCGCATAGCGGCGACAAGACTTCAGGTTTCTTGTCTGTTTTAAGGTCGTAGCAACAAGTGTTTGCAGTTTAAATCAGACTGTAACTGTGACTGCAGCTCGGCAGCGTTGCCAAATATATTATCAGACTTTAAACTGGTCAGCAGTGATTATCGTCCCAGTATGTGTCATTTACTGCCACCAGTGAGAAGGAAATGCACTCAGCAGGTTTGTTGGACCTCAAGGATACACAGGATGTGTTTTGGTCAGCAGAGGGGGAGCATTAATTCATTGTAGTATTGAATCCTGATGAAGGTTTGTTGTTGCTTGTAGTCGATGAACAATCAAAGAGTTGAAATAGTAAAACACGTATGCACAAACATGCATGTTTAGATGAACACAGCCCACGTTCTGGGCTCCAGACTCAGCTTTTCAATTAGTTGCACTGCTTCTCTCCTCTTACATGCATCAACATTGTTCAGCTGTATTAGTGACATTTACTTTGGTCAAAAGTAGACAGTTCACAGACATATATGTTGTAGTTGTTGTATTTTAAAGGAAAACGTCACAAAGTGAAGTACTGTTGAACTGTGATGGTGTGTTTCTAACCAAGTTGTTTCTGTTTTAAAGTCCCACATTTTCAGGAGGAGTAAACGCCGAACACGTGAGGTACATTCTTTTAATTTCCTTTTCATTAAATACCATCATTATTTCATATTTCCAAACTCATTAGAAGACAACTAAACACTCCTCATCACAGCCATCACATGTTCATCATCATTTAACGCATTAGTTTTCCCCTCTGGGTGCTACCAGACGGCCTGCTCATTGGGAGCTCATTACATTACATGACGGTGCATTTGATGCAGCTGCTTCTGCTGCAGAGGTGCAAACATCAGGTTTGTTGTGCAGGTGAGACGGTACACAGAGTCGGTGGTTTGGTATGAAGCTAGTTTATGTTTTCAGTACTACATTAAAAGCCAAGAAAAGCATTTATTTTCAGTGATCAAACAAGAAAAAGACAATTAACTGGATTCAACCATTATAGCCCGCAGTGTCACGTCCCGCCACCCTTCTCCCTGTTCACCAGCACCAAAGACATCTCACTTGATAAAACTTTATTGGGTGTGTCAGTGGACAAAAGCAACCAGAGGTTCAGTGTGAGGTCCACACGGTGTCCGCCTGATAAATCTGTGCAGCCTCAGCAGATAAGTTTCAGGTTTTGGCTGCAGGAAGCAGATTAAAATGAGCAGCGTGAATTAATATGTTGTCCCTATGTAATTGGTACAGTGTCTGCTTAGCTTCCATGGCTAACTTTAGCTGTTCGACAAACATCTGGGGCCACCATGTGTCGGATCCAGAAGGTGCAGAGTGCAGGTATGCTGACATAGGTGGGCTTCTGATAGCAACTGTTTGGATCACAGTGCAGGAAACGTCATACCTCACTGCAAACTTTAGGGTGAATTCTCCGTTCATTACACCTCCAGTGCTGAGTGACCAGAAGCCTGCTGACCCGAGTCCCGAACTTTCCTCAAATAGAGGAGCGAGTAATGAGAAAACCTCTTCCTCTTTCAGGCGGCACTGAGTTATTTTGTCCTTTAACAGTCTTTTCACCTCCAGTTCCTTCACTGGCTCCTGGCCAGCAGTAGATCCTGGATGAGTAACAGGGAGGACGCGGTGCAGAAAACTGCCCGTGTTCATCCAGCCGTCCCTGCACCAACAAGACTCTGAAAACAGATGGTGCAACAGCCTTGCTCGCTCTCCTCAGCTCTACAGTGGGGAGAACGAGACTTCATCTACATGCACATAATGCGATCTTTAGCCAATGAGCAGAGTGAGGCATCACACCAGCGAGGATGTTTACACGGCTGCTTGTTGGAGCGTCCCATTGATTTCCTCGTTGCCATGCTGCACAGTATAGTGTGACTAATGTCTGTGTGATACCTGAAGACGGCGCCTTCACTTTGTGTCGCCGTGTCTCCAGCATTCACCCACAAAACTACATTTCTTCCTTGATGCTAATGTGGTACAACCTTGTGCCAAAGTAAAGGGACTCCACACAAATAATCAGGATGGAGGGATACATTTAATGTGATTTGCACGGCCAGCAGAGAATGAGATTTCATATATTAATCTAAGAGATGGCGTTTTTGTTGTCTGAACAAGATCATTAAGCAGCACCGGTGCACCTCTACAGAACACTAATGCAGCCGTCCTGCTATAAATCCCACCTTAGTGAAGGTTATGATGTTCTGATGCAAGTTTATGGTTGACAGATGTAGTTTATGGACCTGTTGAACTGCATTGCATCACACAAAGAGGCGTTTCTGCTATTTGGAACCCTCTCATTGAAATAACAGGGACAGATAAAGTAGCAGACAGCCGACCTGTCCTGGAATACATTGGCAACCGGCTGTGTTTATCTGCTTTCACTAGAAAGGTGAAAGGTGATTGGAATCTATCTTTGCTTATTAAAACAGGATTTAAAAAAAAAAAAAAAACCTGTGCAGAAAAAAAAATGGAAATATCCACTTTTGCTGTCTCTTAGTTCAGTTTTTAACAAACGTCATGACTACATGGTGATGTTAAAATCTGTCTGAACAATCACATGAAAAAGCTTCACATATTGGCTTAAACACAGTTCTTTGTTGTCCCTGTAAGATCAAGAGGAAGCTTTTAAGCTGAACTTCTTCTCTTAGGTTGCTGTGTTTTGCTACGTTTCAGTCGTGCAGCTTCATTCAGACGAGCTCTGTGTTTGACTCTGATGTCTCAGCTGCAGGTTGACGTTTATTCATCGTGCTGTTTTCACCTGCTCCTTTATTGATGCATCTGGGAGCCAAGCTGATGTCCTCACGTTCGATGTTCCCTGTAAACAGCTTTTATTTCTGAGTGTGCACCGCGCTGACCGGGTCACCAGGCGGGCATGTTCAAAGATATTTCAGCAGAGCTTTGGTGTGCTTTGTTGGCGCTGTTTCTGCAGTAAGGTCTGGCTGTACTCTCCTTCCTACAGGGAGGTCAGAGTTGAGGTGCAGCCACAGGGCAGCGCTCCCCAAGTCTGTCGGGATTCGAGTTCCATGTCCAAGGACACTTTAGTGGATAGCACGGGGTCAGAGTGTAAAATTATTATCAGGAGGTCGCTTGTGTGACCACAGGCCCACGCTGCTCCCAGCTGAGTGTGAAGTTATTGCCAGAATGACTTCTGCTGTACAGCTGCATGTACAAAAGTTCTCCTCGGCAGTCACAAGGTGGTGGAGAGTGAGCTGAACAGTCAGAGCTCAGATCCAGATGCACTTCTTGCTCCACTTCTTTAGTGTCTGTTGCAACAGAATGTGTTCTGCTCTTTTACTGGGATGCTATGATTATTGGTTGTCAATAATTTACAGATTGAACATGTAGTAACCAGTAAGACTGCAGATGAAGGTCAGTAGTTACTCCTCTGACTGATTAACTACAGAGGAAGCGGTCACTCGGACGAGCGTTGGACAGCAGAGAGCACTGAGGAAGTTGAGCTGGTGAAGGGGCACCATGAGAGAGTCTTGTGTGATGCTTAGTCCCAGCCAGAGCTCTCTTATGTAAGTGAGCTCATGTGCCACAAGAGCATCACTTGGCTGATAATCTACGCCATGGTAGTGACCACAGTAGGTGATACAAGCCAACAAGACGGCTGTGGCTCAGGTGGTTGTCCTCCAATCCCATGGTTGGCGGTTCGATCCCCGACCCTCCACAGTCCAAGTGTCCTTGGGCAAGACACTGAACCTGAAGTTGCTCCCAATGGCAGGCAGCAGCTTGCATGAATGTGTGTGAATGGGTGGATGAGAAACACATTGTAAAGCCCTTTGGATATAAGTGCAGACCATTTAGCAGTTAGCATGTCCATGACTGATCATCGATCCGACTATCAGTCAAGAAATTAGTTCAAAACCGGCATCATTCTTTCTGCTTCTGTGACGTATGTTGGAAAATTCTGCCTAGAAAATGTAATGTTCATCAGATGATGTTGACAATCTGGCTTGTTTGTTTTCTTTTTATTTATTTTGTGTTGGATTGTCAGTTTTAGTTGCAGTGCTCGTCTCCCTGCAGGAGGAACACTCATGGCTGTGCTGAAGCAACACCAAAGCTGCATCCTTTGCTCAGTCGTCCTGCCCACAGCAGCTGTGGTTGGTTTAAAGAAATACGATCAGTTATAGCAGAATGGTAGTGTGGTGACAGTGTGGTGACAGTGTGGTGCAGCCAGAGCACGATGTTCTACTGAGTGGTCGACTAATGCAGAGCGAACACTGGACATCCATCAGACGGACACAAAGTGAATGATGCGCTGCTGCATGTGTTGACTTACTTCCACTAACAACAAATAAATTAGTTATTGCAGGTTTCTGTTTTCAGTGTTTCATTAGTCCTCCTGGATGATTGTGCTCTGCTACGTTCATGTCCTGTAGAGACATCATTTAAACCATGAGGACATCACTATTGATACCCACATGGCAGTGTAGGCAGAGGGCTGATGATCATGTTCCTCTAATTCATCCATAAAGGAGTTTTGTATAGAAATACGTCTCCTGGCAGCTTTCATGCTGTGGACGGATTATTCAAGGAAGCATCCTCAGGTTCTGTGTCATGACATTATCGATCTTTGACTAGTTTTCATCACAGGGTGCAGATGAGTGTGTGGCTCGTTGAGCGCTCACATTTTCTAAAGTCAGGACCTTGTTTCATGGCAGCTGTGTCTGATCTCGATGCACCGGGGGGTCAATACGAGCCGCTGTCCGTGCATCAGCATTTATATTGACGGCTGCATTCTTGATTTTTGTCTTGCTCCCATTCGTCGCTGCTTCTTGTTGCGTGGAGCGTTTGTCCTGCTCAGACCTGATCCCAAAACAATGTTAAATGCAAAGTAGGCGCTTCCAGTGTCGCGCTCATTCATCTTGTTTTTCAAAGTAATTATATCGTCAGAATCGACGGAATAATTTACATTTAATTGCCACCTCTTAAGCGGAGTGCTCGTATTTCATCCGTGTGACGCCCAGGCGGGGAGCTGCATGGCAAAGTGGGCTCTTATCTGACGGGCCTGACGTCTGCAGGCGGTGACCCAGCAGCGATACGCCGGCCGATTTCATCCGCCGTCCGGACCCGTGTTCCGTTCAGCTTTTCCCTGAGATAATGGAGCGTTGGCAGACATGTAAACTGGCACAATATGAACACACACGAGCAAATGAACGGCTGCTCCTCGTCTCCCCTCGTTTATCTCTGTCATCTTCCACCTCTTTCATTCATTCCACCCTCTGCTCTGCGAAGCTTCGTCTTTCCCTGCCAGCAGAAGAGTTGGTAATGATTTATTGATGACGGTGTGGCTTTTCTTTAGACATTGCCGCCGTCCCAGATAAATCTTTATTCCAGTTTTTTAGCCTTTACGATGTTGGTGTTAAGAGTGTTGCGGCCCTGTGCAGTCAACCTGTCACACGGTGATGCGCTGCACCGTATAACTCTGTCATTCTCCTTCATAACAACATGTCGGCTCTTTTCTCTGCTCTCCGTCTGTTCCAGTCCTCCAGATGACAGGGAGTGTGTTTATGAATCAGTCATCAGAGTTGCTCCAAGATAATGATTGCAGCTGTCAAAAAGAAAAATAACCATAAATGCCTGTTAATCAGGTCAATTTCTTCTCCATAAATAGACAAGAGTGAATGAGTGTAGCCTCAGCGTGGCAGTGATGTGGGCTGAGCCACAGGTGTGTCGATCTGTCAGCCCAGTATTTAGCCCAAAGCAGCACCACATTGATAGGAGTAGAGAATAAAAATAGCATTTCAGTTGTTTGGGAATTAGGGTTTTATATTCTCAAGCATAGCAGATATTTTAGTTTATTCAAAGGTCAGAAATAACAGACGGATCATCTTTACTGTACACAGAGCAGTACTTGATTTACTTCCTGTTGTGTGTAGAAGAACTGCAGTCCAGGTGTGTCTGACCTGCTTTGGACAGTGGTGCCATCACAAAACCCCAGCATCATTTAGGCTCTTAACAGATAAATGCTTTTGGGAATTTAGCTTTTTTTTTTCATATTACTTTTGTGATTAAGATTCAAAGAGAGGAAATGCGCCCGTATGATGTTTTCTTATGAGTAGGGTGCGTATGTTTATACTGAATGAATACAACCAGGTCTAGACAATAAAATATCGCAGCTGTCGCTCTTCAGTGGCTCCGATGCCGGCTTTCTGAGGTCACCCCGTCCACCTCCTTCCCTGGCGGAGGCGCTGGCTCGTGGCCATCACTGGTTGATCTTGTGAGATGAGCTCTTTGGTCTAAAACCTCCTCCTAAGCAGTGCCCTCCTACAGGCCGGTTCCGAGGGCTGACGGACTGGACGTTGGCGTGCATGTGAAGGTTTCTGATCCAGTCCGCCACCCAGAACCCAAACCTGGACCCAGTGTGGCAGCTCTAACAGTCGCTTTCCTTATTTTTTAATGTTGTGTATGAAGGCCATATCATTACTTTATGCTTATTTATTTGTATTTCTGCGTGTGAACCTGTGTGTTTTTCACTGTTGGCATTGAAGTTCTGACCCGTGTACTTAGATAAACAGGCCAGGTTCAATTCTAATTACTTTTTTATTATATTATTATCAATATATGTTGATATCAGCTGATTCAAACATGTCATCTTGAGACATTTTTCAGCTGTGGCACCCTGCACTGAATGTAATTATAGTAAAACACAACGGAGAACTTGTGAACCCTCAGGAGCACATCTCAGCTTCTCGCTATCTCTGCATCAGTGTTTGTCCCCACGCTGGAGTCACAGCCTCTCACGTCTGCTTTGCTTTCTGCACACGTTCCCTCTATCATCTCATCTCCACCACACACACACACACACACACACACACACACACACACACACACACGCTTCATCTTGTTTACTTTCTGCACACACTCCAATTACGCTTTATCGCGATCACTTATCACTACTCATCTGTGTCTCTGCACTACTTTCATGCTTTCGTCCTCACACGCTCTTCAGCTCCGCCGCGCACCTTCTTAGCGTTTCTTTTTTTTTTTTTAGTCTCTGCTTCCCTCTCCACGCTCCCGTCTTCCTTCCTTCCTTCTCGGTTATTTTTGAAAACGTCCACTGAGTCACCGATGACTCCACATGTTGTGACCTTTTTCCTGGTTTCCAAAGTGGAGTGTGTTTATCTCGGCGCCACGCCCACTCAGGCCGTCCTCGTCCCCGAGGCGCCCTGTGACTCACAATCGATTCATTTGCTAAAGAGCAAACAAATATCCAGGGATGTGTTGTACTGACACTGAGTCTGTTGGTTTCATGACTTTTTATATTCAGTTGTTGCATCTGTGTTTTTGTCCCTTCTTTAGGATGCGCCGCAGGTTCCTCCGAGGTCTAAACTCCTGATTTGTATGCGCTCATTCTCCATTTCCTCACACCCCATTGCCATCCTGTCGTTTAACTCGTCAGCTCAGCGGACCAGGAAGAAAAATGTCTGCCGCTTCACTTGATGTAAAAATATCGGGGCTACATTAAAAAAATAATAAAACATTTTATACCGTCACCAGTCGCTTCCCTCCCAAACCGCACTGAGCCAGAATGAAGAGCACATCACAGAAGCTCGTTTGTTCTCTTTGTTTGCCTTAATGAAAGGTTTTCCACACACGGCTGACAATAGAGCTCATCACCAGCATCACAATCCCGCTCCAGAGCCAGCACTGAGCATTTAATTGGGTGTTTCGGAGACACCCAGACGATATATTTTGACTGGTAGCAGTTGAGCTCGTCAGCTCTTGAAGGCCCTCCGCAGGTAAATAACCCTAAATTGGAGCTTGTTTTCTCTGCTTGAGAATTATTTAGGCTGGTAAAGTGGAGCTGACAGCCCGCTGAGGCCACCGCCGCCGCCGCACAAGTGTGTGAATGTTTTCTTTCTTCCCGATGTCTGCGCTGCGTTAATGACCGACCCCATCTCGTCCATCCATCCAGTCATTATGAGGCATTCTGTGGTTGTTGTCAGCTCCCCGTCTCCTCCTAACCTGCTCGCCGGCCTCTTGCTAATCCCCTCACACACATGACTCAGCACACGCTTGGTGTTCTGACACTCGCTTTGTGTGTTGCCTTCATGTCGCCTGTGTTTCTCCACCTGTGTGTGTGTGGACAGGAAGAAGTGGAGGCACAGAACAGGAGGAACTCGAGAACCAAACTGACGCCAAAGCTGACCCCACACAAGGAGGAGGTGACAACCAGCGACACACACTCACACAACACGCAGATGTGCACACGCATGCAGAGCTGTGAACATGTTCCCGGACAGTTAGCACATCACTGTCACAGAGTCTTCTAGTCGTTTGTCATGCACTCGTCACTTGGTTTTCATGACATTTCCTGTCTGCTGCTGGATGTCATTTGTAAGCTTCGTTGCTTAAACATGGAGCTGTACTGAAAACACAGTGAAGATGTAACACACACCTGCACGACAGGTAAAGCACTGCAGTTTATGCACTGGTCAGTTCTGAGAGTTCAGCGTTTCTTCTGTGAGACTAGTAAGAAAAAGAAGTTCAGATGTAGACACCTTCCTACGCTTTGTCTGCTGGACATGAAAGCAAAGAGCACATTTAATGAGATTACACCACCTTTGCATCTTCAAACATGTCACTTTATCAAACTTGTAACTCAAAGAATAATCGTCCTGATCTAAGAACTTGGAAACCCAGACTTGATGGTCTTATTCTGTGTATTGAACAGGGAGGGTGTTTACCGCTAGTGTCTCCTCTTGAAGCAGAGCCATGTGGCAGTTTTCAGAAGCTGAAACAGAATCTTTCAGATATTTTGACCTGGACCAGCTCACTCGACTTGTCTGATATGTTTTATAAATCACAAGCTTTTTTCCAACCTGCTACACACTGTGAATGGACTAACCGTGGTCCGCTGTCCTGTGATTAGAGCTCTGGTCCGGCGGGTCGCCACGACTCCCAGAGCAGCCTCCGCAGCAGAAAGGAAGGAACGCTGCAGAAGATCGGAGACTTCCTGCAGAGCTCCCCCACGCTGCTCGGCTCTAAAGGTCAGTGAGCGACCGTCAGCTGTGTCAGATGTTTAACTGGTGGTTCACGGTTGAAGAGAAGCATGAGGAGAAAGCGTGGGGAAGACCAGGGGCTGCACACGTTCTTCATTTCACATATACACCGTTTAAATAAGAACCAGCAGCAGCCATGTGATTAAAACTTGAGCTGCACAAAAACAGTGGTCATATCCCAAACATTCAGAGCCTGTGGTGCCGACTGCAATCAAAGTGTTGAACAGCAGGCATCATGGTCTTTATTGGTGGAGCACCTTCTGCATGACAACATATCAACACGGTCAGCTTAGTGAGATACTAAACTATAACTAAAAGTTTTCTACACTAAGATGTTTAAAATACTGATTTGGAAATGTTTTCCTCCAACTCCTCACTTGGAGCAATTTGGCCGTTAAAATACAGTGAAGCCCAAAATTATTCATTATTCACATTTTAGTTTGTGTTGAATTTTTATTCCACCGATAAGTTTCTTCTGGGTGGAAATGACATAAATAAGGGACAAAAGGCTTTAATACTTTGTGTTACACGTGTTCATGAATATTTTGGCACCTCCAAAATGATTAATACCTTTAAAATGATGCAGTTTCTCCACTGCTCCAAATGCTGCTGGTGATTTCTGCCTCTACTAGAGCTTCTAATGTACCATCAGTGCAGCTGATGCAGGAGTTCACTTGTCAGTTTCTAGTCAATTAAGTAATTGCTGAAACCAAAAAGATTAGTGGGCTTGCTATTAGGGTCCATTACTGAGAGAGAGCTGCACATTGTGGCTGCTCACAAAGGAAAGGCTATGAAGCCAAAGTGTTTTCAAGTGCCACAGGCCACAGCACAGGGACTGCTCATCACGTACAAGGAGCTCCACACTGTAGAAAACCTCAGAGTGTGATAGGAAGAGGAAAGAGAACCAAGAAGAATCCGTTCAGGTGGCTGGACAAGGCTGGTCCTAATGGACAGAGAAGACATCAGTTCAGTGGGCACATACGAGGAGATGGAGCTGTTTGGACACATGAATGAAGGAAAGAACACGTCTCCCCAGTCAGACGTGGTGCTTTAGGGGTGTTGAGCAGCCAGCGGGTCAGACAGTCGTGTCCAAGTAAACGGCATCAGGAGAAACGAGGACTACGTTAAGATTGTGAAGGAGAACAGCAGGCAGTCGGTGGAGAACATGTCCTTGGGCAGCACTGGACCTTCCAACAAGACAGTGATCTGACGCATACAGACAGAGTGGTGAAGAAAGGGTTATTAGAAAACAATATCAGCCCCAGAGCTGAAGGGCAGAATGGTGAAGAACTTCATCTCAGATCCCAGTGGAGAAGTCCAGGAATAGTTCCATCTATCTGTCAACATCTACAACACAATGTCCCGTCTGTCATTTCACCCCATTGGTCACATAAAAACTCACTTTCAATCAAAACTGGGTACGAATGATTTAAATCTCTGAGGCGCTCTGCCAAAGTCACCCTCAGGTCAGCGGCCGCCGGCGCTCTGAGCTGTTGCCTCCTCAGTGTTGTTAATGCAGCGGCTTTAGGAAGCCGGAGGTGGCAGCTGCTGTCTGTGGAACAGCTGGAAAGTCAGTGGGAGGACTGTGGGGAGAGTTTTCAAAGTCTTTCTAAAGGAAAAGAAACGCTGGTAGTTATGTCAACAAATCTGACGGAAAGACCAAAAAAACCCAACAATGGATGTATCTCCAGACGGGCGCTGTGTGTGTGTGGATCCCAGGCTGATATATCACACCCCTCTGCGCTGTGGAGCTCCACCGCTGCCCACGAGCTGCTAAGCCTCATGATGGATGCACTGTGAAGGGCGAGCGGCTCCTGCATCAGCACCAACACCGTCCTGCAGCTCCAAACACAGCATTCAACTCAAAGATAGAAAACACTGTCTGTACTCGTGTGAACAGTTCTATCATGAAAGTACTGAGAAGCTGTTTCCTTTGGTTTATTGACAATAAAAAGTCATCTTTAAAGGACTTTTTAGGTATTCTTCTCACAGATCAATTAAAAAAAGAAGAAGCCCAAAGTGTTTTTCTAAAACCAATAATTGAGCCGTCTGAGCGCGACTGCTTTACGTGATGTGCAGTTAGTTGTGGAAGCAACGTGCAGTAATGAAGCCTGTTAGTGATGAAAGTCAGCAGCTGCCCTTCACACTAAACCTCTGGACTGATGCAACAGCTCACAGATCATCACAATCCAGTTTGGATGATATTTAAAATGAGCTCCAACATTCAAACTGTGATCAAAACGAACACGGGGGCTGTTGAACCAGCCCTCCTCTCACACACACACACACACACACACACACACACACTAACAGCAAAGCCTCGCTCCCTGCAGCATCCAGCCATTTACTGATCGGGTCCAGGAGGCAACATTACGGCTCGGACCGGTCTCTCAGAATGTTAAATTTTTACAGCTGTAAACTTGCACAGTGTAGGACACACAAGGACATCCCTGCCGGAGTCATTTGGCAAAGGGATATCGCAGGTTTTGACAAAGCACCCGGGCAAGGGCGGCGAGTTTGGGACACTAATGATGGCTTAGAGGAGAAAGTTAAGACAGGGAACATATTGGAACCAACCCGACTCGTCTCTGTGTTTTCATCCTCGGGGACCGGCACTTTCGCTCGGTCAATTAATTGTCGCCTCGGGGTTCCGACGCAAGGGTGCTGTCGTCTGCCGCCATCTGATCCTCCCTCCATCTCGCCTCCTCTTCCTGCTGCTGCTGTTCCCTTCATCCCCTCCTCCCCGTCTTTCATCTCTCACCTTCACTGCTCCGTCGTCTTCGTTATTCCACCGCCAACACCTCACTCCTCCTGTCAGTCTCTTCTTTTAACTCTCCTCCCCGGCAGCCTCCAGTGTGCAGCGCTGGTTGGTAATTGGTAAATATGGTAATTAGAGGATATGGTATCATCACTGCTTTTTCTTTGTTTTTAAGGGAAGTGATAATCAGCATCTCAGTGGAGTCTCCTTCTTGTTTACAGTAATTACACTAATGCCTTAAATCTGCAGTTAAAATGATTTATTCGGGGAAGCGGCTTCCCCAAAGTCGTTCAATAACATGAAATTAAGCCATAAATTAAAAGCTCAATAAATTTATCTCCGCTTTCTGAAACCGTCGTCTTCTCCGCAGCCAAGAAGATGATGAGTCTGGTGAGCGGTCGGCCTGATGCGGACTCAGCAGCTTCCACCTCCTCTCTGGGCCTGAGAGCCAAGAAGAACAAGAGGAAGCTGTACCGGCCTGAGATCTCCTCACCCATGGACATGCCCTCCCACCCAGTGAGTCTCACACATGTTTCTGGTCTTTATTTGTTGTCAAGTGGCTGCTTGTGTTGGACGTGAAACAGTCCACAAACGGATGCTGGGTGATCTGAACCGAGGTCCAACTTGTAACTCGTATGTCATCATTTGTACGTCAGCTTTTCAAGGGAGGTGTGTTTATGAATCTCCACCTGCTCATCCTGTTGAGTTCCATCTGAGCTGTTTGATGCAAAATCCACAAACACTGCGAGTGCATGACTCGTAAAAGTCACGATTTATGTCTAAACAATAAATGAAATATATTTAGGAAGCTGCATTAATGTTTCTGGGTTGTTCTGGGACAGTTCTAGCGCTCCGGTTGTGTCTCCCAAAACTCCAAAAAGCAGATTTGTTGTTAGAAGTCAGTGGGAGCGGCAGCTTAACGAGCAGACGGCATCCCAACGAGCTGCTGTGTGTGTTTGCTTCTGTCCTGCTGTGATCAGAGATGGCACAGAGCTCAACATGTGAGTAATGTCAAGCTAACCTCCTCCATGTCTGTGTCAGAAAACTGCTTCAATTGGAAGAGCAGTCGAGGTTGCAATTAGTGGCATCAGGCTGCAAACGGACCCCAACAAAGCACCGCTAGCTCGCTAAGCCTTAGCACGGCCGGTTAGCCTGAGAAACATCTTTCTGTGAGAAGTTAGCGGTCATGTACCAGCTGTTTTCAGACTTCTAAACTTTTGTCTCTGGCTTCATCATAATCTGTAATCAGTAGTTTTACCACAGCAGCTGGATAAACTGCTCCGTGCATGTTCAGAATACACGAGTACTGGTCGGAGCTAATCGGGCAGCGCGCCAAATATATCAAGTTAAGAAATACTTTGCTGATCCCTGAGAAGGCATCGCTTACGTTACAGTCACTACCGAAAATATAAATAGTTCAAAATATATCCATAAACATAATTAGAAAGATTTGACCGAAAAACATAAACATGAGCATAAACGTACAACGTGCTGCTTCTAAGAAAACAAAGCACACAGTGTGTTAAAGCACTCATTTACTGCATATTTATAAATGTAGACTCATACGTGAGGTGCAGACGCCGGCCACTTTTCACAGAAAGCTGTTTTCAGGTCAGCTACTAGCTCAGCAGCACAGCTAGCTGATGTGTTTAGATGATCCTGCTGACTGCTTTATAGCGGCTCAGCTTGCAGACTGTGGCGCCGCTGATCAGAGCTCCAGCCGGTGACCAGCGTGTTCGTATGAGCAGCTGTGGTTTGGTTTGTTCAGGTTGGATTTTCATAGGATCGCATTCATGTGAGTGCACGAGCATGTTGTGGATGTAACCACGGTGGTTCTGGTGCTTTACCCGGTGACACATGAAGGTACAGAAGAGTCAGAGTTAACCACACTAATGACTCCAGACTTCCTCTACGGGCCGTTCTGATGGGCTTTAGGTCAGACTTGGTTTGGCTCTGGGCTGCACCTCAGTTGGTTAAAAGAAGGAAGGACTTGGTTAAACTGTCTGTCTGTGTGGACTGTTCCTCTGAACGGAGGTGGTTAGCTGGATGTATATCCACATGTTGAGCTCTGTGTGGTCCATTCATGGCTCTGAATGACTGAATAAAAATACACGTTAATTACACCTGATGATAGCAGCTGGTTAGCGATGCTGCGTCTCTGGTTTCTTTTGATTCCGTTCAGTCTAAACAGACGTCCGTAAACGCTGTCGCCTGCTGCAAACACAAACCGAGTCCGAGACCAGAACAATCCACAGACATCAGCGGAGATCCACAACCACACTTCCACTGAGAAGGCTGATGTGAAAACCTTGAAGTATGAGTTACAAACTGCTCCTTATTTAGACACGAGTCACATTTAAATGATGAGTTAGGAGCTACCAGTCAGATGTACAGATACCAGCCGCTGACTTATCGATGCTCGTGTTCACGTGTGTTCTGTTCCAGTTTCCTCCACTGACTTGGTGTTGGTGCAGAAGTTTCCTATTTGCATGTGTTCTATAGCAACCAGTGAAATCTCCGACCAGGTTTAGGAAACACTTTGACTCCTTACAAACCAGCTGCTACAGCGTTATCTAGACAACACAGACTGGTGACATGACGACGCTGAGCAGCCTCGGCCACATTCAGCTGAAGTCGTGGCACAAATGTGACATTTCAGTCCTGACCTGAAGCATGTGGAGGCTCCTCTCTTATGATTCATGTTCTGGACTGAAAGACGGGACGTGAGTGAAGTCACTGACAGAACAGGAGCAGCAACGTGATGCTTTTAGCTTTTTAATCTCCGGCGCTGGACTGGGAACCTGGAACCTGAATTTCCCGAGGGACTCCTCCCTATCTGATGTTTTCAGCAGGAACAGTGCCTCGGTCTGGACCGCTGGCGCTGATGGCACTTTATAACGAAGGCTTGCTGTCAGTTCAGCCTGATCTGGAGGAGTTTGGTCATTAAACTAACTGGGACGTTGTAGCTCAAAGATGTACGAAAGAACCAGTGAGGACAAATTCAAAACCAGGTCCCCCACGAGTCCTAATCCGTGATGAAGTCTATGAAGGTAATGATCAGTTCATAGACAACGACCTGCAGCCGATTTTCCTCCAGAGCAGCTTCCTCACATGGTTCATGTGCAGAACATCAGAGAGCTGCTGGTGAGCTGGCTTCAGTCAGAGTGTAGCTACCTGTAGCTATCTGTGCTAGCAGCATGAACCAGTGACTCAATAATCACCGTGTGGTTTTAGCAGATCCACTAAATGAGCAGCCGGTCTTCTGATTGGCTGTTAAAGGCATCTGAGCCCCTTTGATTCCAACCCTGCAGTCGCACCAATAACTCTGTCTTTAATATTTGCTCCAGATCATCAGCAGAGAGCCGGAGGAGAAGGACAGCGACCACCAGATCATTAAGAGGCGCCTTCGCTCCAGGATGCCCAAATAATTCACAACATGTGGGTTTAGTTTTTGTTTGTTTTATTGTCTTAAGAAATGGGAGAGTATTTGTTTCTATGTCCAAAAACATAGAAACAAATCTCAATAATCGCATTTAATCTGCAGTTCTTAATATTTAATTATTCACGGAGCATTAGAGTAGAGCACAGACTGCTAGCTAGGGAGTATTTAAAGGAATAGTTTTGTATTCTAATGTTCTGCTGAGAGTTGATGAGAGATCAGAGTAGAGCACCATCAGACCACCGAGCTAACAGCTCCGTCTGCTGCTATTGCTAATGCTAAGCTAACCTGGTAGCTTCACTCAGTGTTTCATTTAACTCTCAACAGATGAGCATATTTACCGAACTTAAATACTGATATCATTTAATCAGCTGTTAATTCCTTTTTCCTTGAGACGCTGTTATGTCCACATTTAAGTGACTCCACAACAGGAAGCACTCTGCATCTGTGCATACGCTCCCAAACACTTTATACCTGAAGGATGCAGATTGCTTTTTCTACTTTTTATGTGCAATTTCTAAATTGAAGTTAACGAGTCGTGCTGCAGTTCAGTTTTATTATTGACATCTTGGTAGTTAGAACAGTTAGAAGACGTTCATGTGACGTTTCAGTCTGACAGCAGGCTGGTGGTCCATGTCCTCCAGGAGCTGCTACGATTGTTGACTGTCTCACTAAACAATGTTTGTCCAGATACCAGAATGCTCAGTTTTTCTGTATTTGATTTGTATTCGCCCGTAGAGGATCCACTACACGTTCCATAAACTGCACTTTATCTACAAGAACACGTCTGAGATGTAAACCACTGGTCGTATGTGTGACTGAAACGCCTTCGGTTCAAGGTTTTATCTTCAGCACCACTCTAAGAGTTGTTTTCGGTGATTATATCTGTTCTAGAAGAAGGATGCTGAGTTGTTGTTTTGTACTCACATTAAAACGTTTGTTCCTGTTCATGTCTCAGCTTGTGACCTTTCTTGTCATCTCTGCTGCCTGCTACAGCTCACACCAGCCAGTCACCGACTAAAATACACATTTCTCTTCTCCAGTATGAACATTTGCTGTGTTTTATATTTAGACTTCACTTCATGGCTACTTTTGTGATCTTTTACAGCCCACATTGTTTTGATTAATTGCTAATAATTAGAAGCAGCTGGACGAGTTTTAGGTTCTTGAAGATTTTTCTGCTCATCAAAGAGGATTTATTTAATCCTGCAGGTGGAACTTTTGTCTCCCCCTGTTGGCAGCAAGAGTAATTACAAAAACCCAATCAACTTGTGCTTGTGACAAACGCTTTGACGTCTTCTGCTTTTTTGACTGTATGCGTCCTCTGGAGTTAATTTTTTATCTTCAACATCAGGAACTCTTCTGAGATCAGTGGATGATCCAGATGAAGAATCCTGTTTGGCTTGAATGTTGTGACACATGCTGACATGTAGAAGTCCTACACACCAGCTCTGAGGCCACCTGTGGATCAATACACACTGACAGCTTTACACCACCTGAAGGTGTGAGTGGAGATAGAACCACCTGGGAGGGTCTGAAGCCCGCTCTGTATCAGACATTTAGCCTGAATGGTTGTTCCAGGGGCTGCAGGTGGATCAGTGGTTAGCACCGTTAGCGCCTCACAGCTAGAAGGTCGCCGGTTGGCGTCCCGGTGAGGACACCCGGGATCTTCCTGCGTGGAGTCTCCATGTTCTCCCCGTGCAGCGTGGGTTCTCTCCGGGTTCTCCGGCTTCCTCCCACAGTCCAGAAACATGCTGAGGTTAATTGGTGATTGTAAATTGTCCGTAGGTGTGAATGTGAGTGTGCTTGGTTGTCTGTCTCTAAGTGTAGCCCTGTGATAGACTGGTTACCTGTCCAGGTGAACCTGCCTTCACCCTGAGTCAGCTGGGATAGGCTCCGCCCCCCATGACCCTGGTGAGGATGGAGGTGTAGAGATGATGGATGGATGCTGGTTGTTCCAGTTTAACACAGATGGTTTGAGAAATGCGTGAAGGGAACGTTTCTGATGCTTGAGATAAACATTAAGTGTACGTCAGACACACAGAGGTAATAAACAACCTGTAATCCTGTTTCTCTACTTAAGAGTTTCTGTCTGCTCTACAAACAGCGACTCGACTTCTACTGAAGCGCCTACGTTTAGCGCGACCGACCTGAGAATCTGCTCAGACATTAATAGCATGTTATATAAAATACAGGCCTCTTAATGCTCCGTCTAAAATCCCTCCAAACTCCTTTTTGCAGTTCCAGACCCACGGTGACCTGCTGAGGCTCCTGCAGAGCAGCCCACAGTCTGCAGGCCTCTAAAAGCCACTTGTCAACACTAATCACTCGCTCAGGGCACAACAATTAGGCGACATATCAATCACCTGCACCACCGCCAACGTTGTGTAACCGCGTTCAGGCACTCAGGCGTCAAGGAGAAGTTTTAAACTTCTGCTATTAATGACACTGCAGAGGTGGGAGAAGACTGAGAGCTGGTTCTGAAGGTGTGTGGGCACAAATACGTGAAGTGTGTTCAGGCGGAGCAGCTCAACTCAGAGAAAAACATGCCGATGGACCACAGAGGTCGCCAAGCTGACAGGGTAGAAGACTGTTTCTGTGATCAGCTGCTGACTTGATCACATGAAGTCCTGCATCTCTGTAGAAGCAGCACAGACACGACTGGACGTAGAAACATTAAAGCTGAAGAAGGGACGAATGAACGCTGAATTCCTTTAGTTACTTATTAAACAAAACAAGCTGAATTCAACGTGCACAACAATTTTCAAAGCGCCTGCAGGTGTTACCAACATGGTGGCACTAATTACTATAGATGTGTGTTATTACATTCACTACTTTAATTGGCTTCTGTGCTCGTCTCCTCACTGGCTGCAGTTCAGCTGAAACATCACAGAGTTTACTTTCTTCAGAGTCGGAAGTTTCTACTAAGATCCTTCAAACTACTGGAAAAGCCCAGATGATGATGTCATGGCTTTGGAAGCTTCTGATAGGTTAATTGACAACATCTGAGTTACCTGGAAGCACACCTCAAACACTCTGCTTCCTTTAGTGACAACATGGAACATCTAAGAAAGCAGCCAAGACATCAGGAGGAGAACTGTGGACCTCCACCAGTCTGGTTCTGCCTGAAGGTTCCACGTTCATCTGTTCAGACAGTTCTATCAGTAGAACCACCATGGGAACGTCCAGCCATCAGAGGCTCAGGAAGGACACGGTTCTGTGTCCAGAGATGAAGTGTTCCACCAGTTCTGTCAGGAGGAACGGGCCAGAACTCATCGGACTGTTGTGAGAAGCTTGTGGAAGGAAACCCAGAACGTTTGATCCAAGTCATAGAGTTTAAAGTCAACGCTGCCAGATACTGAGGAGATGGATGGAAACTTCTGACTCTGAAGGAAGGAATAAAACATTCTGTCTCATTATCCTGACATTCAGCAGATAGAACTAATGCTGGTGATCCTGACTGAGCTGAAGCTGGAAGAGTTTGGTCTGATTTAGTGTCAGATGGAGAGAAATTAAAGGTTGTCTGTCTTTTCATATGATGGATGTAAACTTCTGGTTCAACTGTTTGTAGACTGAAGTGATTTTGATCAAATGTCAAAACTTTAAGCTTAAAATTTGAATCACTTCAGAATAAACAGCGTGAGAAGTTCGAGGCTGCTGGACCGGTTCTGGTTTCTCTCTGTGATAAATTTTGGATTTCTGTAAAGATGACACACAGTTAATGAAACCGAAGCTCAGAATCTGGCAGGTTTCAGGGTTCAGACGATTAAACTGAGATTAAAAATTGATTTTCCTTTTCCTGCACTAAACATCTTGAGGCTGTTTCTTCACTGGAGTCATTTGTGGGTTTGAAGCAGATCATTATGAGCAGAGGCTCAAAGACAGAAAAGTCAGAAAAACTCGTCACAGTGAGTCACGAACGTCTCAGGAGGAGCTCACAGGAGGTTTTATTACTGAACTTTTTCTAGAGCAAACTATTGTTGACAATTAAAATAAATAATTTTGATGAAGTATCACAATCTGGAGCTGAGGTTTGGTGACGTTTCTCCAAACGAGCAGTTCGAGGGCTGAAAGTTAAAAACAGAACAGCTGAAACATCTTCATTATGTTGGTGATTGTTACGTGTCGGCAGGTTTTGGGCTTCAGAGGGTGAAACAAGTGTCATCTGTGCATTTACACATGCAGAGAGGGAAAATCCTGCAATACTCAATGACTGAAATGTGCTTTTCAGAGTTTTTAACAAGTTATTTGAACTTTTGCGCCGTTCATCGTTCAAATCAGAGTCGTTCTTCACGTCCTTCAGGTTCCCTGCAGCCGCGCATTAAAGCTGAAATATGTTTTCCACTGGCTGAGGATCGGCTGTTGTGTGCAGTCGCCTGTTTTGTTGGTGACTCACTGAATCATGTTGTGACGTCTCAGAATCAGCAGCTTTGTTCCTAAAGGCCACAATCTGAGTAAAACAGAGAGACGAGGATCTTTTTACAAAACACGTGACAGCGTGACTGAGTGTGAGGTGTGAAGTGGGCGCCAACACTCGTCCTGGACAGAAACGGTTGGACTCGTACGACGATGTGACGTGAGTGGAGGAGGATGAGGGGGTTTCTAAAGTCAGGAAAGACAGAATAAGAGCCTCTGAAATCAGCAGCCAGGCGTCGTTTGTTCTGAGTCCAACAGTCTGTCCTTGAAGTGAAACGTTTCATCTCACAAACCGGAGCACATGACGAGGAACTCTCACCGATGACTCATCATTAAGCTGCTCTTGTTTAAAGCTCTGTGACGATGAATCATCTTTTTTCTTTTTATTGTATTTTACAAAACTGTAAAAACCCAGAATCAGCATTTATAAAAGTTTTCCGACTGATGCTCTCTGAGTGTTTGTGGCGCCGACGAGTGCCGAGTGTTTTTGGTTTTTTACTAAATCTGGTGAAAGCACAGCTGCAGGTGTCTCAGTGGTTAGTACTGGACCCCAGCAGGACAGAACCAGCAGCAACAACCAGCGGTCTGAAGCAGAAGGACTTCTGCTGGAACAGATAAAAACTAGAGCGAACCTTTA